TTTTTACCGTTTCCCTAAACATCAGCATTTCTCGAGAACTGGGGCATCTACAAAAAATCCAAATACACGATCGTACTTCTATATGTATGAGCTATATGATCGCATGCGTGGGAGAAACTCAGGACGTCTAGGGGCTGAGTTTGCCATTTTGCCTTATTCATTTTACCTTTATTTCCAGCCGTGGAAAAAATCTGGAAAGTATGCAGTCGAGTGCGCGATGTGTCAAGCATATGCTAGAGTAAATGGGTAATTTTTTAGACACTTTGGAGCGGAGATACGATTTTTTGACAGAAAATTTCGTTTTCAACTATTAGCATATTTCAGCTCAAAACTTCACGTGGGATATGATTTGGGCAGACATTTGATAGTCGTCTTGTAGAGTTTGCTTTGCCCTGTCGAATGATTATTCAAGCCACACCAGATGAAGGAAAGGTACGAAAAGACGGCGGCTGCAGTAAAAACGGTAAATAATTATGAGACAACCTAATAGTTAGACATAAAAGGAATTCTTGGACTAATGAGTAACCATGTCAAAATATGATATATGTTTGAAAACTGCAAGAATTTGATAAACATTCGCAGCTAGGCGACTTCGAGTCATGGATCGTGCAGCACATCGAGTTGGAGATACAGGAGCACCCACTTCTGTTACCTCATCACAATTGGTGAAGCGCAGCCTAAGATTCCTCATTGCTTTAAATTTATAATGAATTCGATAGTTGCGCCCTTCTTCCTTCCTTGATGGCACCAATGAAAGTGGGGAAATGGCTGGGAATCGCCTTTGTCAGCTTTTCGTATCCACGGAAATGAACAGATCGATATTGTCTGCTTGGTGGCGGTTTGTACAGATGACGCCTGTCCCAACGTTAGCATTGGTTTAATTTTTTACAGTTCAGAAAATCAACTTAGCACGAGTTTTGATGGCTATGGGGTTCCAATTATCTGTAGTACATATTTTTTAGATGACTTCGCCCCCAAATAAGGATCGACGGTTCTGTTCGCTCGCCGAGAAGCACGCAATTCGAGTTGATCATCGTTTAATTGTGAAGGCCAGAGCGGCTGACAGCTTTCAAGAAGACAGCAGAACATTTCCTGGTGGAACCACTTTTCCGTCAGCAATGTCCAACGATAGCTGTTTGGCTACAGAAGTATGCTTACAACCAGGTGTCCATCTCTCTGGCCTTACCCTGTTCGCACTCTCCTTGGCTGCGTCGGCAGTGTCCTTATGTGTAGGGGCAAAACGAAGAAGCGATTAGGTGGAAGACCTTCTTTCTATATCACAGTAAGACACTTGCTAATCTGCTCAGGTTTTTCATTCATTCTGCTTTCAGGATCTCCACACAGTAGAAGAACGTTGGTGCAAAATACGTAAAGACCTTGTCGTTGCGACAGCTAATAAAAGCTGTATTTGGTAGAAGTGTTGTACATAGTTCAGAAATCTAATATTTGTGGAATTTATGAATAAAAAAATTTTGTATGATTGTTTCAGAACCATATTAACTATGATATACAGGACTATTTTTCTAGTTATGTTTACAGCAGATAGTCGCTTTAGCAGCGGCAATTACAGTACGCTAAAAATCAGCATGATGAAGTGACCTTTGAAGGTAGAGGCTCGGGAGAATCGCGAGTGTAAATTTCAATTCTCTTTGTCCTTCTGGATGCGCTGAGTCCAGAAGTGTTCTTGAAATCTCTTGAATTTGCCAAAAACGTCTTTTTATGGCGCCTTCCGGCCTTGGAGATTGCGAGAGGGGCTGGACGAGCGATTCCGCCGCTGAGGCACGATTGGCTGTTTGACCCAACCAGCCAATTCGCTAAAGGTTGGAGTGACTTCACCCAGCCTCCTGCATTCAGTCACTGTTTTTTTGCGGGAATCTCTCCTCCAGCCCCTTCAGCAATCTCCAACGCCGTAAAACCCATAGCATACATTTTTGCACTTTCGAGATTCCAAGCACAGTACTGGACCCAGTTCATCCACAAGGCCAAGGACGCAAATAACAGGAGCCACTGCCTCTAAAGCTTCCTCTACAATATGCTTAGGGGAATTCCACATACCAAAAGCCTTCAAGCACATCTGTGCGCATCCTAAATAAGCGAACAAAACCGTGCTTGATATTGCTCATCACGGATTGCCACAGAATATCCTATCATTTACAAATTTCAACTTGAGTGGAAAAGCCGAGTCGCATCTTATATATAAAGCTGAATGTCTGTTTGTATGTATGTATGTATGTCTGTCTGTATGTGTGTACGTATGTTCCGAATAGAAAATTCCATTTCTGAACCGATCCGGACCAAACTTGGCACACATACACTTCGGGCTCCGGCGGGTGTCATAGGCTACTTTTCGTCATCGATCGATATCGATTTTATCGATTTTTATCGATTTTTTTTGCCGAGTTCACCTACGGGGCTGGGAGTTGGCACAGGGGGGTAATCGAGCATGGGGATTCCGAATACAATATTGGTTTTCAGGATCATCGATTACTTTTATCGATTTTATCGATTTTTTTGCAAAGTTTGAGCTACGGGGCTGGGAGTTGGTACAGGGGGGTAATCGAGCATGGGGATTCCGAATACAATATTGGTTTTCAGGATTATCGATTACTTTTATCGATTTTATCGATTTTTTTTGCAAAGTTTGAGCTACGGGGCTGGGAGTTGGCACAGGGGGGTAATCGAGCATGCTGATCATTCCCAAGGGGGGTGATCAGCATGCTCGATTACACCCCTGTGCCAAATTCCAGCCCCCTAGCTCAAATTTTCAAAAAATCGATAAAATCGATAAAAGTAATGGACGATCTTGAAAACTAATATTGTATTCGTAATCTGCATGCTCGATTACCCCCTGTGCAAACTCCCAGCCCCGCAGGTCAAACTTTACGAAAAAAATCGATGAAATCGATAAAAGTAATGGACGATCCTGAAAACTAATATTGTGTTCGTAATCAGCATGCTCGATTACCCCCCTGTGCAAAATCCCAGCCTCGCATGTCAAAATTTACAAGAAATCGATAAAATCAATAAAAGTAATCGATAATTCTGAAAACTAATATTGTATTCGGAATCCCCATGCTCGATTACCCCCCTGTGCCAACTCCCAGCCCCGTAGGTGAACTCTGCAAAAAAATCGATAAAAATCGGTAAAATCGACATCGATCGATAACGAAAAGTGGACTGTGACACCCGCCGGGGCCCGAAGTGTATGTGTGCCAAGTTTGGTCCGGATACGGCGGAGCCGGGTAAGCCAGCTAGTTTTTTATAAAGCAATATGCTCGACGCTCCATTTTGGATAAATGAACATATAACTGTAAATAGGCTGACATTTACAACTTAATTAACCCGACGCTGCGTTGGATTTTGCCTCAAAGTCGTTTCGTAAACATTTCCCGCTGACTGATCGTTCTTTCAGCTTTGAAAGCTCAACGATTTGAGCAAGAAAAAATTGTCGTGTTGGAGCGACTTTCGAACAACAGTCTGTAGACATGGCAATCAGAAAAATTTTGGGCTATTTACGGGGATGAGAGTGTTAGAAAGCAATAAAAAACAATCGCTTACTCAACATTTGAGCATGTGGATGATGTGATTGATTTTTTTTGCATGTTTACGAAGCCAAAAGCTGTTTACGATTGCCCTATAGCACACTTTCGGATCTCGCTTATCCTTTTTATTAGCTTGTGTGCATTGTTGGATAAATTTTCGCGTGGAATCACCAAGATGTCTGCAGAAAACACTCCACAATGGAATGGCCGAGGTGTGAGCGTCTAACCTGGGACTTGGGATGGCTATGTAATTATCCTCTGTTTCAATGGCAGTCTTACATACTGGAGCGGTCGCAACGCGGTCGCCTCGCTTTTTTGCGGTGCCGATAACATTTGTGCGCAAACAAAAGCGATAGCACTATGGCCATCTTTCGCTCTTCGCAAACAAATTCTCGGCATACACGAGCAGACATTTGTTTTTTTTTCACGCAAATGTTGTCTTCACCGCAGGTCAATACATAACGTCAAATCTTCGATTCTGCACAATATTATGAAGACCTACACTCTGTCCCAATCCATATGAGGCAAAGAATGACATAATGCGCTGGGACTGCCGTGGTTATGTGTCGTCATCGATTCGCTATAGGCTCGTTAGGAACTCCTGTTCCATAGCCATTCTCTTTGAGCGCAAATCCTTACAGCTTGAATCGGAAAGTTCTAGCGTTGCAAGCTCGACCAAGCAAAATTTCGGCGCAATCCCAGTTCAGAAAAACATTAAAACAGAGCGCACAAAAGAGAACAACTTTTTCATCAAATTAGGGCCGCAGCTGGTACCCACTGCTAGGGCATCTCCTTCGATCGATATAGTTTTCAAAAATCCTTTGTTTCCATCCAAATCAAGATTTTTTTGGGAAATGGAGCGTCATCAGCTCTTCTATGCTTTGCGCTAGAACCTGTAATGCCATTAATAATACAGCCTTGACGGGGAATGCGCTCCAGTCAAACAAGGCATTGTATCGGGTTGAAAAAAATCGTAAAATCTTGTATCAAAAAGCAACTTTGTTCCGAATAGTCCCTTACGTGATATCTATTCGTGACAGGCAAAGCAAATCTTTTTTGTCTTGCTTCAACAACTCCCGGCTGTAGCCGATAGCAGAGCCCATCTTTTGTTTGAAGGTTAGTGTAATTAACCACGTTTCATAGTCTCTATTTATTGCCGAAAAAGAAGATAGGGGAGTGTAAGGATAAAGTGGTCCTGTTTTTGTCCAGTGGAGGCGTTGCCGACAAATTTTTCAGTTTTTTGGAAAAAGTCGAGAAAATCTCAAACATATACATTCTGTTAACAGCAAACATCAGAGTCCTGACGTGTCAATTTCAATATTGCTCAATAACAAGCGCTAGTTTCGACGACAATCCATTTGTGGCATTTTAAAAACACTGTATGAGCATGTGATAAGCCCTCCCACCTGATCATTTTAAAGCATTAAATGAAGCTCTGAGAGAGCAGTGTCATTCGACATGAGGATCTGTTTAGCCATAGCTGCGGTAACTTCAGTTCACATTGATTGAGTAAGTGCTATCAAGAATGTTTTCAGGTGACTTTCCTACTGCCAGCGTTTGTCTCAGGTACGATCACAGCAAAAAACATTACTTTGTAGGATGCAAAGAAATACGAAATCGTTCTTTAGGAGACACCTTATGTCCTACTGGAAAAATTGAGTATGATGAGATCTATGATTATATCGTGCCAGCAGTTACGCGCGCAAGAGGAAACCTAAAGGAGAGGCTTGTAAAAAACGGTCCCGATGGAGATTATTTACCAGAGGCGTGGGACATGGAAAATTTGGTCAGTCCAACGTAATTTCTTTATGGCTTCACATGAAAGAAGGGCTAGAATACAACGCCCCGCTCTGACGGAGCTTTTAACATCATTTACAATACCGCTCACATTCTTTGAAAAAAAAAGACGCGGATCGAACTAGACTCACGCGACGGTCGCGTAGACTACTCCTATTCGCATTCTTTTTTTTTTCAAAAATTGTGAGCGGTAGTGTGTTACATCAGTCTGGATTACTTTGCTTGTTTTGAAGGAAAAAGTTCCAGAAATGGAGTTGTGAGCTAGAAGCGATAGCTATGAACGTTTTGGGAAACTGCGACTATAAAATTACTGATGTCGATAGCAGTAAGCGAGCACATGGCAAAGCGGAGATCTATTCTTGGAGGTCAGTGGTTTTCACGAGCTTAAGCAGTAGTTCGGAGGCCTTGTCAGTGAGCATGAATGCTCACTGACATGGCCTCCGAACTACTGCTTAAGCTCGTGAAAACCACTGACCTCCAAGAATAGACTACTGGTCATTCTCATTAACAAGGCCTCCATCTGCCTTTTCGTGACGTCACCGTGACGTCACCGTCCCCTCGCCCCGCCTCCTCAATGGTCAAGACCCTCCGCAGCTCTGCCAGATTTCGACTGTCCTCCGGAGCTATGGCACCGATTGTCTGAGAGGGCATTCGAAAAATCGTGACGATGACGCGACCGCGCGCGACACGCACGCACCTCCCGCCAAACACATTTTCTTGGTTTTCATCTTTATCGAATGGTTTTCTTGCTTTACTTATGACAGCATTTGAACAATGGAGGTGAATGAGCTGACAGACAGTTGAGGTGATGCCTTCTTGTATGAGTGTTTTCTGCTCCTGTGGGCAAATTCCGCAGTCAAATTCGCCGTCACGATTTTTTAGACGATCTATAGATGCAGACGTGTGCTAGAATAGCAAATATGTAAATTGTTTGAGAACCCGACAAAGCTCAATCTTGGCCAATCAATCGACTCGAAACAATTCTTGGTTGAAAAATTCACCGTAGCATTGACTAAAAATGTACTCAGGCTAAATTGGTCAACAATATTGTTTTCGGAGCAATCATTCATTGGGACGCACAGTATCATACGTACCAAGCACCAAGAAGACTTGTTTTGAGAAATAGATTTGCCTAGCGAGAACGATCCCGTGCTTTCTCCATTCATGCTGCTCTATCATTTGTGATAAAAGTCTGAATGTAAGCAAGCATTTTTCTAGCGTGCCGATTTCTTCCACATTAAATCAAATTCGGTTCATTTTCAAGACCTTCTTCATGCTGCTTTGGGTTGTTTCTCGTCCTTCTGAAAAATAATGCTATTTGATATTAGTTATCTCTACTACAGAGGCACAGGGTGCATAAAATGCTGGCTGACCCCCAACATTTTTAATGATGATCTCAAGAAGAGGAGCGGTCCAATTAACGCTTATTTAGCTTACGGATTACTGATCAGACTTTATTCGCCTAAAAATTCATCGCCATCTCATTTGAGCTTTGAACGGGATGAAAAGACCGATTTCGGGGCGTTTACCCATTTCCAAAAAAGCAGCTCGGACGAGATATTAAATGAAAAATCCGGACGCCTCGACACGAAGACCCTGCCGACTGTAATTTTTGCTTTGGATAGCATGCAACAATGCCGGAGCTGTCGTGTGGTTCCGCGCAGAACGGACAAACAAAGTCGCCCAGCGCGCGCCGATTGGGGCTGCGCGCGTCGGTTCGAGGACCATTTTCTCGGCCCGGGGAAACATTAACCGGCCGGACTGGGCCTGGGGGTTAGTGGGTTGACCAGGAGCCCCACCACGCCTATATCCCCCAGGGCGCGAATCTGCCGGGACACTGCCTTAATGCTGTCACCTGGAATATCAACTAAAATGATATCGTCTTTCAAGTTCGCACGGTCAGTGCATCGTCGCACTGCAGCACTAGTTGCGTCAGAAACGAAAGGAAGGCAAGAGGTATTTTCTGTTGGTGCTGGTTGCTTTGAGCAGAAATGGATGATTCACTGCGTCCATTTTGGTGCGCGTAACCATTCATTCGAGCAAATTTAATGCTTATCTTTGAGATTCCCTTCATTTTTCTTCTACTGTGCATACGTTTGTTGCTGTTTTGAACATGCTAATAACAACTCTTTTAACAGCGATTGAATGTGCAGAACGAGCATTTATCAAGATGTTATTGGAAGTCTCCTTACGATACCATTTTACTCTCGCAGCGCCGTTGAACAGTTTGATCTGTACGTTTAGGTAGGGGAACCAGCCATTTCTCGGTTGTTGTCGTGACTTTACGTACTGTGACTGTTGATTGAGTAACCTCATCCTTTCAAATTGTGTTGATGTTATGAGCAACAGTCATCGATGAAACGGCCTTACATAAGAGGAATTAGAGAGACATGCCTCGATTAGGAGCATAAACGATCTTCTACTTAGCCCGAAAGTCTGGTCTTTTTACCAGAGTTGTCCAACATCTCCAAAACTGCCTCCAGAGCATCATCGAACATCCGTGTACAAGGACACGTCGTCGAAAAACTCTGCCACACATAATCATTTCCTGCAACGCCTCCACCACTTTGCAAACGCAATGTGTGGCAGAGTCTTTCGACGCCGTATCTTTGTACCTCAATGTTCAGAACGACGATGCTCTGCAGGCAGTTTCGGAAATGTTGGACAACTCTGGTGAAAAGATCCAGACTTTCGGGCTGAGTAAAAGATCGGTTATGCTCCTGTTCAAGGAATGTCTCTCTTGTGACATCCTTCGATGGTCAGGAACATACTATACTCAACTAAAAGGTCTTGCAATGGTGCAGAGTCTTGCTCCTGTTCTGGCCATCTGCTTCATGAGTAGAATAGAAGAAGAGTGCTGTCACGGATGCCTTTTATGTACTGCCGTTACATCGATGACTGTTGCTCATAACATCAACACAATTTGATAGGATGAGGTTACTCAACAGTCACAGTACATAAAGTTCACACGGCAGCAACCGAGAAATGGCTGGCTCCCCTACCTAAGCGTACAGATCAAACTGTTTAACGGCGCTGCGAGTGTAAAATGGTATCGTAAGGAGACTTCCAAGAACATCTTGATCGATGCTCTTCTGCACATCCAATCGCTGTTAAAAGAGCTGTTATTCGTAAGTTGTTCAAAACAGCAACAAGCTTATGCACAAAAGAAGAAAAACGAAGGGAATCTCAAAAATGGGCGTTGGATATTGCTCGAATGAATGGTTACGCGCACCAAAATAGACGCAGTGAATCATCCATTTCTGCTCAAAGCAACCAGCACCAACAGAAAACACCTCTTGCCTTCCTTTCGTTTCTGACGCAACTAGCGCTGCAGTGCGACGATGCACTGACCGTGCGAACTTGGAAGACGATATCATTTTAGTTGATATTCCAGGTGACAGCATTAGGAAGCGGCTAGTACGCAACAGGTTTGTCCATCCGGTAAAGTTGGTGTCTGTGGTAAGACCGGTGTAATCTGTGAGAAAACATGTATGGAGTGCAGTGCCACCTATATCGAAGAGACTGGAAGGCCTCTATGGGTAAGAATGAAAGAACATCTTGCCAGCACAAAAGACGGGGAAGTCTTACCACAATACTCAGTAAACACAGAGTTGAATTTCACTGTGGTAAGGACTTCGAAATAAATGTACTGTACTGGCATACGGATACGATACTGCTAGCAAAAAAGCCCTCGAGGCATTTTGGATTTCGCGAGAAACCCATGTATGAACAACTGAAATGAGTGTCCATCAATCACGAATGACTTTATGCCTTTTATGGCATTATGTGAGTCGAAGAATCCCACTGGTAATTAATGTCAATATGGTTTGCACTGTATTCATTATTACTACTAGTGGCACGAAGGACAGCCGCATCTAACATCTAGGCGGCAGCGGCGGAGGAGGTTGGTTCGTCTTTCACGTACTTGCGTGTTTTTGTTCGTAACACTTTGGGGGGGGGGGATAGAGTCGAGGCTGGCCGGGGATGGAAGAGGCTTGTGGTGGGGTAGAGCATAAAATTCAAATCTCTTACCACTTTAGACCTCTGAAGAAGAAGGACAAGTCGAAACGTCAGGCCGCCACTAACAATAAAGATCTACTAACCTCGGTCGGCTTACTAGCCTATTAACACTTACACTGACAATGCCGAGTTTTACGAAAGAGGAAACTTGGAAGCAACCAATATTAGTGTATAGACTTACGGTAAGTCAGTGATAACTCCCGATCTGAGGCGACTTTTTAAATTTGTCACCTTGGACACCAGACGTCAAAATGCAAAGTAACCTTTGTTTTTTTCCTCCGACAGATCATGTGGACAATATGCCGCAAGAAGTAATTATAAGAGCATTGTTCGGAAGTTTTTTTAAAACCTACACGTCTCTTTTGCATGATTTCTTATTTTGCGAGACAAGTACTCGTTTACAGAAAGGCACATAATGGAAAATTTTGGTCTGTCGAGACGGCTTTTCTTTACATTTCTTAACACCAAGCTAAGCTCACGCCAACAGTGACCAAAGTCCAAATCCTTTCGTTTCAAAAATTTTCCATCTGGTGAGATGATCGAGACGAATTTTTAGTTCCGACGAAGTAGATGCACTTTCACAAAAGTGACTTTGACCGTTTTGTGTTGCTCATTCCGTTTGAAACTCGATACGATGAAACAAGTTTTCGTTTGCAGCCGTATTTCTTCTCTTCTTTTTTTTCTTGAAAGTAAATGAACAAATTTTCCACTATTGAAAGGGTAACACCTTGTTGTATTGCTTGGAAACTTCGTTGCATGTTGCTTTCATACAATGGTTCCAGTGTGCAACCAGAACCCCGTCCATCAGTTCTTTAAAGTGAGTGCCTGCCACTGCATAAACTGCTACATCCAGAACTGGAAGGAGGATTCCTCACGTAGATGTTTGAAAAAATCCTTTGTTCTGGGCAAAGTTGTTAGATTGTTCAGAGATAAATCAAAGATGTAACGGTTTCTGTAAAGATGAGCCGC